CTCCCTTCTCAACCCCTCTGTCAGATTCCTCCTCTTCCTCTGAGGCTCACCTCAGCTGACATTTCTTCCCTGAACCTCCATTGTACGTGCACTCTCCTTCCTTAAGCATTTCTGAGACTGATCTCTCCATTACCCACTTTACTCCCTGTCTTGTCTTAGCTTCTCTGGCACATGTTGTCCTCCTCCCTCACTAGAATGTAAGCTCCTTGAGAGCAGGAATTTGGACACGTTTGGTTTTGTATCATCATTGCCTAGTTCATGGTAGGTGATTGCTATATATTTTGTGAAGTGAATTAAATGTGGTCCTGGCTCTCTTGCGAGGTCAGGATGAATTAATATATAAAGAGTACATACATAGGACAGGGGGAAGAGGGCTGGTTCTGGAGTCACAAGCTTCAGGTTCAAATCTTGCCTCTGGCAAGTCCTATTTGTGTGACCTTGGGCCAGTCACAATCTCTCTGGGCTTTGGTTCCACATGGGTAAAATCAGTAGCTTTGATTAGATGGTCTTTCCCGGCTCTAAAATGAGGCTCCTATGATCCTCGGTGATTGCTCTTTCATATCCCTTATGGTATTTCATAGCATTAATGGCCTGCTTGGTCAATCACCCAGTCAGGGTCTTCAGCGGTCAGCCTGCCCAGGGCCATTTATTTAGCATTAATTATAAAAAAAAAGAATTGTGCTAAATGCTGGGGATGCAGGTCCTGCCTTCAAGAAGCTATGCAAAAGACAGTGTAAACCATGTGTATAGGGGACATAGATGATAGCCAGGAGGTAACTGGGGAGGGGAAGGCACCAGCAGCCAGAGGGGCCAGGAAGGGCCTCCTGCAGAAGTTAGTCCTTGAGCCAAGTCTGCAAAGAAGCTAGGGTGTAAGGGCTGGAAATGGGGAGAGAAAGCATGACAAGTCTGGGCCACCGCCAGTGTAGACAGGAAGAGATGGGAGCGGGGTGTGAAGAGCAGCAAGTTGGCCATTGTCGCTGAATTCTAGAAGAGGCAGAGGGCAGGATGTGATGAGCTTTCAGCACTTTCTTTTTGATCCTGGATGTAATAGAGAGTTATTGGCATTCGTTGAGTATGGGGGAGGAATAACCTGGATAGACCCAGGCTTTAGCAAAATCACTTTGGCAGCCGAATGAAGGAAGGAAGGATCAGAGAGGGAAGAGACTTGAGGCAGGCTCTGGAAAAGGAAACGGAGTCATTCTCTCCTCCAATGAAACTGGAATTATCTCTCAATCAAATGTCTATGTGAGCCAAAGCCAGAACCAGGGTGATACCAATGGGCCCTTGGCCCAGGCTACACAATTTAGAGGGCATCAATAACACCATCCGATAGCACACTTCCTTTCCCTGCCCAATCCAGCTCAAATGGCAACGGCCTGGCCTAGGAATTCACTTCCTCCTCTGCCCAGCCCTGTCCTGGACAGCAATGGCCTTCTCCAAAGACCTGCTTCCTCCTCCTCGGCTGCTGCTCCTAATCTCCATCTCCAACGGTGGAGAAGCTTTGTGGGTACCCAGATAGTGTAGACACCTTGTGGTTCTCCTGGTCAGGTTTTCCTTTTCTTCACGCCTACTAAATAAAATGCACTCACAACACACTTTCATCTGATTATTAATGTTTCCTCAATCATTTTCTTAAGTTTGTGCAATGGAAAAGAGGTAAAGTATCTTGCTTATGGCCAGAGAGCTAGGAAGAGTTAATAATTGTGTGCTTGTAATGTTTAATGACCAGATCTCCAAAAAGTCCCTCAACATACTCACAGCACATTTTTAAGTTTAATCTGCCTTATTAACATTTCCTTAATCATTTACTTAAGTCTAGACAATGAACAAAATAATAAATTAAACCCTGATTTGGAGGAATTGCTGATTGTTGAGGTATAAATGCTCAAACTCAACATTTAACAACCAGCTCTCCTGAACAGGTACTAGCTGGCTCCAACAGACTGCCCTCTCAGAAGCAAGATTCCACCACAGGCCTTCCAGACTCTGAGCCACTCTCTCCCTCACTGGGTGCCATGTTGCACATGTGTATAGTCTATCCGAAGTGCCAGAGTATAGAAGAGGGGTGGTTTTTACTACAGGGAGAAGTACAGAGGCCTTGGGATGAAGACAACCTGGGTTGAAATCTTACCTATGATGCTTACTATCCCAGAGACCTTGGGCAAGTCAGCTCACTTTGAGCCTCAATTTCCTCAGCTGTGAAATGGAGATGAAGCTACTTGCTCTCTCTACCTCACTGGGCTCATATGAAGAAAGCACCTTAATTCAACAAGCATTTATTGAGGACTTTCTATGTGCCAAGCTCTGTGCTAAGCACTAGGGCTACCAAGTCAAAGATGAAGCTGTTCCTACCCTCAAAAACTTTACATCCTCTCAAGGGATACCACATGTAAATATATGCAGAATAAAATTCTCAGTGCTGTGAAGGATACAAGACATGCATAGAAAAGGTCCTGCCCTCAGGATGCTTGCAATCTAATTGTAATCAAGGCGCATGCTATTCAGCTCAATAAAAAGCAAAGTAGCTTATTTGAAGTGCATAAATCAGATGGAAAGGACACTGGGTTTGGAGTCAGAAGGCTCACGTTTGAATCTGAACTGCATTTCTCACCACCTGTAGGACCTTTCACAGGTTATTTCTCATTGGCCTTAGGTTCCTCATCTGTAAAATGAAGGGGTTGGTCTAAATGGCTCTGTAGTTCCTTCCAGACATAATTTCCCTGATTTCCTCACTCCAGCTCCCTTTGGGCGAGGGAGCAACAGTTAATTGTTAGATTTTGTTCCCCTAAAATCCCAAGAAGTTTCTTCTTTATGGTGTTTGTATTAACTCTCCCTTGATAGGTCAAATGTGTTTTCTCAAGCTATGTCTTCAAAGTGAATTCCAGTCCTACCTGCTGACTCAGATTCCAGCAAGGCAATGAGATAATTCCAAGGTTAATCAGTGTCTGGGTGGTTACAAGCCTGTTTGTGTGGGATCTGGCCAGAACCAGAGTTAAAATTAGGGCAGGTCAATCAGGGCTTTGCCCCAGGGCACTGATATTTAAAGGTCACCGGCATTAATGTACCAGAAAACATTTAGCTGGACTAACCCTTTCCCTCCTGTTCTTCCTCCCCCTTGCCCCAGGCACAAAATTCCTAGTTATTATTCTGGACGAAACTGTCCATCACAGCTCATGTTCCCTCCTCCTTTTGGAAAATTCAGTATAGATGATAGAGCACCAATGAACTTGGAATTAGGAAGATCTGAGTTCAAATCCCATCCCAGAAACTCACTATCTGCACAGACTTGGGCAAGTTGCATAATCTCTCTGGGCCTCAGTTTCTTCATCTGTAAAATGAAAAGGTGGGACTTGTGGGCCTCTGAGTTTCCTTCTTTCTTTCTAAACCTGTTATCCTGTGATCTCTGGAAAAGAGCCCTTGTGTCCTAAATGTGCTCTCTTTTGCAGCCGAAAGAGCTGAATTTCAGCTCTTTTTTCCAACTGATTAAGAATACCAGCTGCCCACAGAAGATTAGTAATCCATACAGAGTCTTGATCCAGGATCAAATCATAAAGACAATTAAATTCCTCTTGCAATTATGGGCTTTGAAATTTAGCAGGAGGGAGCCAGGGCCTGCCTATGGAAACTAAAATCAGTCATTAAATCTACACAAAGTATGCTGATAGTAAATTGGCCAAACCATTTGAACACTGCAGTGTAGAGTATTAAATACTTTTTGTCTCAATAGCTATTAATTGCAATATTGGACTTCAGAAGAAATAAAAGGATCCGTCCCTTAGAGGTGGAGGGGAACACATCAGAAGTTGGTGAAATATGTTCCTAGCAAGATTGCCAGTCATCTGAAGGCCCCTGACTCTGTTGTCACTCATAGAATCACAGATTGAAATCTAGAAGGGCTATCGGAGGCTGTAATCCAACCTTGTGATTTTTCAGATGAGGAAACTGAGGCCTGGGAGGGTACAGCTCACCCTAGCAACTCTAGGGCACAAGGGTTCCCTGCTATCCCCAAAAGCCTGGATTTTATACCTTGGTTGGGTACCCAAGCCAGTCCAGAGTTCATGGTAACAGAATATGTGCTTTGGTTTATAGATACTCCCAGGTAGCCTGACATTCAATTCCATCTAATTTAATAAACATTTATGAAGTGCCTACTGCGTGCTCTATGCTATGCTGGTCATTGGAGATAAAAAGGTAAAAGCCAAATGGTCCCTGCTCTTATGTCATTTATATTTTACCAGGAACCAGAGAAAAGTCACTTTCGGGGTGCACCAGAAGATAGACAGAAAGAAGAAAAGATCTGAGATGAAGGAATGTCTAACAACAAAGGAGGGGTCCAGAGGGCACAGTGAAAAGGGAGGGCAGAAGAGAAAAGGGGAAGGGGGAAGGCTGAATTTTCTCTGGATGGGGGGGGTCAGAGGGGTGTAGTGTGCTGCCCTTACTAACTGAATCTCCTCAATCCTGAGTTGATCCTGCATCCTGTAGGCACCCATGTCAGATGAGGAGACACACCCTGCCCCAAGGGGAAGGCAGGCAGTGGAAGGGGGCATGGTGGATGTGGGACCTGAGGGAGTGTTGGCCAAGGACCAGGTAAGGGGGTTGGCTGATGGAGCAGCTGAAGGTCCTCCAGTGGAAAGCAAGCATGCCACCACTGTGCCAATGCTTGTCAGCACTTGGGGATGACGCTTCAGACACCCCAGGCTTGTTACATCTCTGTACCGTTTAAGAGATTTTTGTCCAGGTTCTTGTTGAACCTAGATAGTATCTGAGGTTCCTTCCAGCTCCTTCTGGGGAAACTGAGGCTTCCAGGATCTAATCCACACCTCCCCAAACTGTCCCCTCTTAGCCTGAGGCTGAGTAAAATTCCTTCCATTGCAGAAAATACCCAAAAAAAGATTTTGCTCCCAATCTGATCTTTCAGAGTGACTATTCACTGATTGCTATAAATAATTACCAAGCTGCTCACATAGCAGAAAGGGCTGGTCTCCATTAATATCTGATCCATGTAGCCAAACCAAATGCTGAAGCCCTATTGTCTCATCAGAGTGCTTTAGTTTTGGATTCCATGCTCTCCTCTGGGGGGATCTGCTCATATAGACGCCAGAGCCATGACGCATTAATAAGGGGGCTGGGAGAAGAAACGGCTCCCTAAAATGAAAACGACCAATCCACAAGCTTTTATTGCGTCTGTCCAGAAGAAGGCTGTGTTTGGTGGTGTGGAGCAGTGGGTAGAGTCCTGGGGCTGGTTTGTCATCAGGAAAATGGGTTCAACGGTGGCCTCTGACTCTTCCTAGCTGTGTGACCATGGTTAAGGCCCTTCATCTCTCTGACCTTCAGGCTACTTTGTAAGACTTACCTCTAAGAGGTCATGGATGGATGGGCTAAGATCTGCTTTAAAGAAACCAACCATCCTCACAGTATGTATTAACATATTAGAACTTCTCCATGTGGCCTTTCTTGAGTTCCCAGTTGTCCTGGGGTAGGGTAGGCGATGCCCATTACTTTGTATTCTGAATTTGCCTGATACGTATTTTGTTTCTACTCTGGGTCCAACATGTTTTCCTACAGGTGAATAGATTCTCCTTCTGGGTATGGTCAAGGTCATTCATCTTCATCTTCTGAGACCCTAATGTTGTGCCTAGCACACAATGGAATTGAATTGAATTGTCCATGTGAGGCGTGGTCTTTGACATAAGGATTTCGGCTGCTGATGCTTAATTTGAGGAGCTGAGGCATAGGTTGCTAGGGTACACAGCTGGAAAAGACTATAAATCTTGTAGTCCAGATCTTCTCCACCTTTTTGGAGGGTCATGGACTCCTCCACCGGTCTGCTGAAGCCCACAAACCCATTCTCAGAATGATGTTTTTAAATGCATAAAATTAAATACTTAGGAAACCAACTATATTGAAATAGTTACAAAATATTTTCAAGAAAGGTTCACAGGTCCCACATTAAGAACCTCTGATCTAACCCAGCTCCTCCTTTCCCACAGATGGGGAAACTGAAGACTGGGAAAGGGAAGCAGCGATTTCCCCAAGATCACCCAGCTGGTGGGCACCAAGTGCTTAAACCCGCATTCCCTTGGGCCCACATCCAGCGTTCCTTCTCCTGCACCGGAGAGAGCTGTCAATACAAGGCTGTGAACAGGAAATGCCAGCTGAGGACTGTGGACAGTCACTGAGGAGGAAGTCAGAGAAAAGAAGAATTATTCCAGGTTGGGTCTGTAGGAGAAAGGAAGTGACTCCGTCAGAGATGTACAGCCAGTCTTGTTGAGGAGAGTGGGAGTAGAGCCAGACCGGGTGACACCCCACTCTGAGCAGGACTGGCAGAGGCCCAGAATGCCAGGCCCCCGGAGGGAGCAGCCCTGGTTCTTCTGTCTTTTATTTTTCCTCCTTCCCCCAAGAGCTGCTGGGAAAATACCTCATGGCCTCTCAGGTCATTTCATCTACTCCTGACTCACAAACCATTTGGCCCAATTCCCAGTCCTGTGACCCGTAGGCCTTTGGTTTCCATGGGGAGTCAAAGCTAGCTGCATTACTTTGTCATCCACACATCCTTCTCCTCTGGTTTTAAAAGAAGTCTGGCTCTCCCTCACCTCTGGCTGTCCTCAATTACCTGTAAATACTCTATTAACATAAACATAAACATAAAAATTCTCATCCTCGGAAGTTTCTCTTTTCACAGGTGAGAGCTGATCTTGCTGCTGGTTTTCTTTCCAAGAATCTCACCTTAGTAACACTCTCGTGCAAAAAGAAACTCATTAGCTTTCCCTGATGGAAGGAGCAGAGGTGTTCACGGACCCTTTGGAAGCACCAATTTGGGCCTTGCAAAAGTCCAGGCTGCCTGCTAGCTGGTACAAATTCCTTTTCTTAGGGACTGACTGAGCACTGACCTCAATTACTGGCATTTTGACTCTGTGTGTGTGTGTGTGTGTGTGTGTGTGTGTGTGTGTGTGTGTGTGTGCGCATACTTGAGTACGCTTCAGTGAATGCTATTACAAAAACAAAAACCAAAACCCAATAAGCCAACATGCTGAGAAGCTCTCTGTGTGAGGCTAAAATGATTTTCAGAGGGGGAGTAGTGTTCAATAGCATTCCTAGATTGATTTTATTTTCATGGAATTTGACTTTGGCACACTGTTATTATAGATCACTGGGGGCAGGTGATGATTAATTATCAGAGAAGAGAGCTGCAAAACTTTCTTAGAAATACAAATTTGGGAAACTTCTCCTTTTATGATTTCATAGTCTATATTTTGGCTATTTTTGCCTTGCTTTGGTTATTTCATTGGTGGGATGCTGCATGTGGATAGATCGCTATATTTGGCCCAGAGGACCTGAGTTCAAATCCTGCCTCCTACATTTACTAGCAATGTGACCTTGGACAAGTAACAACTTCAGTCTGCCTCAATTTCTTCAGCTGTAAAATGAAAAGGTTGGATTAGCCTGTAAGGCTTTTTAAAAAAATCTCTGATAAGTGCATAGATTCATGATTTTCTAATTTGCACATGAGCTGGAAGGGAGAGCTTCTGTGTTAGACAATTCAAATAGGGGGAGTGGAGGAAGAAGAGGAATAAGCATTTATATAGTGCCTACTATGTGCCAGGCACTGTGTTAAACACTTTAAAACTATTATTTCATTTGATCCTTATAACTTTGGGAAGTAGGTGCTATTATTATCCCTATTTTAAAGTTGAGAATACTGAGGCAGACAGAGGTTAAGCGACTTGCCCAAGGTCACACAGCTAGTAATTGTCTGAGGCCGGATTTAAACTCAGGTCTTCTGGATTCCAGAAGCATTCTTCTCCATCCACTTCACCACAAGATATCTCAGATATCATTCCATGATTCCATCAAATAGATCTTGACAGGTTAAAGCCTTGGGCTAAATCTAAGATAACAAAACTTAATAGGGAAAAATGTAAAATCTTACAATTGGGCTCAAAAAATCAACTTCCCAAGTATAAAATGGGGGCAAGAATGGCTATATGGCAGATCATCATTAAAAGAGCTGGGGATTTTACTGCAATCTCAAAATGGGTCAAGAGTATTACATAGCCACACCCAAATTAGCACAATATTAGAATTCATTAAGAGACTCAAAGATCCAAGACTAAGAAGGTGATTGTCTCCATGGACTTTGCCCTTGTCAGACCATGTCTAGATATTTACATTCGATTCTGCTTGCCACAGGTTAAGAGAGACATTGACTGGATGGGCAGTGTACAAAATAAGTCAATCAGCATGGTGAAGACTGTGTTTGTTCCATATGAAAGACTAGACTTGTGCTTCTTGGCCCCAAAGGAGGGATCCAGAAGAAATGAGTAGAAGATGCAGACGTATCTTTCTGGATCAAGGAATCAGAGCTATCAAAAGGGTAGTAAATGAGCTCCCCCTTCCTGAATCTCTTCCCTCAAAAACTGGGTGAGCACTTCTCAAGGACATTGTGGAGAAGATCCTTGCTCGGGTATAGGTTAGACTTGATGACTAACAAGGCTCCTTCCAATGGTGACTGTCTTCGATTCTGTAATTTCTTTGACATTAAACAACATCCTTAATTTCTTGCCTTCAAGAACAATGTGTTGATTTCACTGAGTACTCTGTTCATTACATTTCAATTCAAGAAGCAGGTCCTATGGGACAGGCACTGTGTTAAGTACTGGGAATCCAAGGAGGTTGGAAATCACCTTCATTTATCATAGCCTGCTAAATCAAGGTGACTTAAGTTATCTATTGTGTCTGATTTTATGCAAACGTGTGGCTGGGTGGGGTTTAGGGGGTCATGCTATGGGTGAAAGATCTATGTACAGGAAAGTGGGAAAAGCAGTGACCTAGGCAGCCAGGTAACACCCATTATTGAAGTGAGTGTAATGTGGGTGGTAGGGGCAATTACAGCATATGTATTTAATCTGTGTTGTATATGAATTATGTCTTATTACACAATCATGGCTGTGTTATGCTTCATTCAGTCAATCAATTAGCTTTGATTAAATATTTGCTATGTGCATATGCTAATATGTGAAGTTTTTAAATATACCATTGATGTATGCAATACACATGTAGGAACATACACACATATGCACACTTATACACACATATGTATGCCTATACACATATATGTATACATACTTGTGCATGCCCATACACATACAGATACAACACACACAAAATACATACCCATGCATATAATATGTGGAGTTTTAAATATTCCATCCACACATATGCACATCTCTACAAGTATGAACATGTATACAATACACATATTCCTGAAGATATATGTTCATGCATAGGCATATACAACACATACACATATATGCATGTGTGTATATAAGAGCATACATGTGTGCAACATACACACACATGCACATGCACATATCCATATACATGCAGCTAGGTGGTGCCATGTATAAAGTACTGAAGCTGGGTCAGGAAGACCTGAGTTTAAATCCTGCGTCAGATAATTACCTGTTGTAAAACCTTAAGCAAGTCACTTAACCTCTACCCTCCTCAGCTTACTTATCTGTAAAATGGTGATAAAAATAGCACCCACCTCCCTGGGTTGTTGTAAGGATGAAATGATATTGTATTTTTAAAATGCTTTTTAAACCTTGAAGTTCTATATAAATGCTGGCTATTATTCTACATGTATGTCAAGTGCTTTACATCAAATGGGCCTTTGTGGTTTGATTGAAATGCATGCACTGTTATCAGAGTGCTTTTGCTTACATAAGTATTATTTGTCAGTAGGGCTCCTGTTTAATGTATAATAGCATCCCAATGTCACCACATTGGATGGAGGCAGTGGGCTACAGGGGAAAATGTATTGCCTCTTGAAGCACAGGCACTGGGTTCAAGTCTCATTTCCAATCCTTGCTACCTGTGTGACCTTGGGCTAGTAATTTCACGTCTGTGGGCCTCAGTTTCCTCATCTATAAAATGAGGGACTTGAACTTGATGGTCTCAGGTCCCTTCCAGCTCAAGGTTCAGGATCCTTTGTCTGGGGTCTGTGTGTGTGTGTGTGTGTCCATATGTCATCACAATGAAGTGCATGGAACTCTGGACTTGGCATTAGGAAGCCCCCCGGCTCAGATCCCATCTCCGACACTCACTTGCCAGGTGGCCAAGGACCAGGCCCTTTTCCTTCCCTCTCTGAGCCCCAGGTAACTCTTGGATGACAAGTTAGAGGTGAGGTGCAATCTGTGTTGGTGGAGAGTCTCATAGATTCGTGATGCCCTGATATCCTTAGTCTTGTATTCCTGGCAATGCTGGATAGCCATTATTCAATGGAAAATCATAGAATCAGACGTTTCAAGGCCAGCAGGTTAAATCTCCTCAAGGAAGAGTTTGAACCCAGCTTTTCCTTACTCCCTGAGGCCTATTCACTGCACCACAATGACTCCCCTCTTCAATAGGAATCAAGATACTAAGTCAAGGTGACCCCCAAATGTCCAGTGGGTGGAAGTAGACCGTAACAGATGACCAACAATGACCAATAATACTGTCAGGCCTCTCCACACTTGGTTGACACATAAAAGCAATGCATGTTGGGTCTCTCCAGTGGAACATAAGTTCATTGAGGGCAGGGACTGTTTCACTCTTGTCTTTGTTTTCCTAGTTCCTGATATGCAATAGGTGTTTAATAAATACCTGTTAAATTGAATTGAATTCAAAGGATCACAGGCTTATAGACTCAGATATGAGAGGGGCTCTTAAGATCATCTAGTTCATCCCCACCCTCCATCATTTTACAGATAAGGAAAATGAAGACCGTGGAGGTAGGGTAACTTGCCCAGCATCCTATAGAAAGTAAGTTTGCATGTGGGGACCTGAACCTAACTTGTATCGCTCACATATCCACTGCCGTACACAGCATTCTCCAAAGACTTAATACCAGACAGGGCAACAAACAAACATGGCCTCCCATTGGTCTATAGATTCAGCCATCTGTAATAAAACACATTGTCTTTTGGTCCCATATGTAGCCATGTGTGCCCTCTCTCCACCCCGCGCTTTCCCACAGAGTTGCTGAAAGTCTCTTTCGGCAAGCTTCTACTAAATCTATCAGTAATCAATCAACAGAGTTCAAGATGCCCTATAAAGTGACAAGCAGCATGTTTTCTGTCTCTCTGACTTAGAAAGCATACAATAGAAATGCCTTGGGAAAAGTGGGAACTGACTGGGGAGTCTGGTGAGCATTTACATTGCAAGGAAAATGAGGGTAAAACAAACTTCAAGACAGATGTGCCTTAATGTAGATCAGGGTGATCGATGCAGGTCTTAATTGATCCAGGCAGAGATGGTATTGACCTAAAACAGTAGCTGCCTTGGTTGTCCACCACTTCTCTGCTGGCTTCTTGTAACAGCTAAAACTCAGGTATGTCTTTTAAATGGCTTGTGCACCTGGAAAGGAAGACTGGGTGATTCCATCATCCATGGGAAAGACCTCTGATGAAATGGAAGAAAAGATAGAGAAGATGGAGAGATGGAGATAGAAATGGACAAAGCAAGATGGAGAGATCCTTAGCAGGACAGAGTTAAGGGGAGATGGGGCAAAAGGAGAACTACAGAAGAATTTGGAGTGGCCTGTTTTTTTGTTCATATTTAAGTGGGGCACCCTCTAAATATAACAGGAGAAATGACAAGACAAAGGTGGTGGGTTAGTGTAGAGGGTGAGGAGGAGAATTTGTATTTCTAACTGTGACCCAGACTCAAAATGGAAATCTGATGATAAGGGAGTTTGTATAATATTGATCTCTACTTGAATCACAGGGTTTTTTTTTACTTTGTATGTGACCTTTCCCGTATTTTTTAAAGCATAAGGGACAGACTGTCCAGTCCCAAACAAACAGACCCTCCCCCCACCCACTCACACAAAATGATAATAAAAAACTTACCCATAGTCCTATCCATCCTTCTCCTTGGTTCTGGCATTCTGGTGGTAGAGGGGAGGAAAAAGGGGCAGAGGGTGCTAGGAATCACAGTTGTTAGGCTGTCTGTACACATTAACTGACCTGTTGGCACTCCAAATGTGATAATTAAGTCTGGGAGAATACCTGGTTCCCAAGCCAATTTGGGAAGTATTATTAATTTTAAAGAACATGAAACCAGCAGTTGGGATCTGAGAGCTTTGACTAGTTCCAGGGCTATAATTAGCTGTATGACCTTGTGCAGGTTACTATCCCCCTCTCAGGCTTTCTATTTCTTCCTGTGTAAAGTGAGGCAATTTGGACAGGTGACCCAGAAGTTTCCATAGAGCTCTAGGCCTCTTGGTCTGCTTTCCTGTGGCTGTGTCTTTCTTCATGTCATAGAGAAAGTATGAAATGTCCTATTTTATGCTTTTGAAAACCTTTTGCAAGAAATGTCACTGACTGCACTTTGATCAGCAATGCTACTGCCAGGTATGTACTGCAAGGAAGTCAAAGACAGAGGCAAAGGTCCAATGCATGCCAAATTATTGATGCAACTCTTTCTGTGACAGCAAAGAAAACTGGAAAGAAAGAGGTGACCCAGTGATTGAACAAATTTTGGTGTATGAATGTATGGAATATAATTTTTTTTTGTTTTTTTAACATTTATTTTTTATTTTTTTTAAATTTTATTAATTTATTTTGATTTATCAACAATCACTTTCATATGCTTTTGAGTTGAAAATTTTTCTCCCCCTTCCTCCCACCCACCCTCCCCAAGACAGCGCACAATCTGATATAGGCTTTACATTTACATTCCTATTAAACATATTTTCACATCAGTGAGGTTGTAAGTAAAAATTAAAACCAATAGGAGGAACCATCAGAAAGATGAAACAAAACTCAACAGAAGGTAAAAATAAGTGAGAGCGATTCGACTTCCATAGTTCTTTCTTTGGATGTGGACAGCATTTTCCATCCCGAGGCCTCTGGAGATGTCTTAGATCCTTGTGATGCCGAGAAGGGTTCAGTTTAACAATATTAGTCATCGCATAACGTGTGTGTTATTGTGTACAAAGTCTTCTTGGTTCTGCTCACTTCACTCAGCATCAGAGCATATAAGTCTTCCCAGGTTTTTCTGAAGTCAGCCTGTTCATCATTTCTTATAGCACAATAGTATTCCATTACATTCATATACCACAACTTGCTCAGCCATTCCCCAATTGATGGGCATTATGAAATATAATTGTACCACAAGTGATAGGAACTTAGAGAAACATGAGAAGATGTTTCTGAAATGATCCAAAGGAGAAAAAAAAACAGAACCAGGAGGACAATGACTACATTAACATAAAGGAAAATGCTGTTGAAAGACATCATAGCTCTTATGAATGAGGGACCAATTTTGATTTTAGTAAAATGAAAATGAAAGATACCACTACCAGCTTGGCAAATATCAAGTGGACTACAGGAACAGAATGTATGAACAGGCACATTCATCTGACATGGCCAATGGGTACATTTGCTTTGCTTAGCAAAGAGTTTTGTGGGACAGGGTTAGGAGCATTACGAAATGACAGTAATGTAAAAAAGTCATCAATAAAGCATTTTTAAAGGTATGTGTAGTTCACATAAAGTTAAAGTTTGTTTCTGTTTACTTTGAATTTTCAATTTCATGAGTATATGGAACTCCTACTATGGAAATTCCCATCATGGTTGAAGATCAGATTTATAACATAGTCTTGGAGAGCAGCCTGGAGCAATGGGAGGTTAAATGATATGTCCAAGGTCACACAAAGTATGTTATCAGAGACAGGACTTTAACTTCTAAAAAAGGTCTGTCAATCACCCATCTAATTGCTCCACTCATTGTCAGTATGACTTCCCAAACCACAGCATTCTTCTATGGCCACCACTAAACTTTCTGTGTTGCCTTCTCTCATTAGGATGCAATATCCAGGAGGGCAGGGATTGACTTGCCTTTGTATTTATATTCCTAATCCTTACTATGGTCCCTGAAACACATGTCATAAGAGAATTTCTATTTTTCAGTATTGGTTCCAGGACAGACATTTAATTTTTAAAGTGAGTTATCATAATCAGTTGAAGCTTTTCAGAATTTAGCTAAGACTTCCAAAAGTTTAACTCAGGTGGTTAACTGGTTAACAACAAAAGAATTTCTGGCTCAGCTTAATTAATTCTATTTACTTACGATGAGCCTTTCCTGGCTAGTTTGCAAATTCCAGAATAAATCCCTTCATGTTTGCTGATCAGTTTACTATTTTACGTGGTGGAAGATCTTATTCTTCTCTATGTGTTCTTCAATGTATAAAGTTTTACCTTCTTCCTTTGCCCTCTGTAAAAATTCAACTTGTATTCATCCTGCCTTGTCCTAAATAAGATTTTTGAAAATGCTACTTATGATCCATGAGTTCATATGTGTCATGGGACTGGCTCTGAGCATATAATAAATGCATTACAAAATGTCTCTGCACATTAATAAGGATCAATCAATAAACATTTTTAAGTGCCTACTATGTGCCAGGCAACAGTACTGAGCAACAACTCCCTGAGTATTTCTATATCACATAATAAGTTTTTAATAGATGCTTTATCATTTCTGACTCCAAGGTCAATCCTCTTTCCATTACTGATCACTTTCTCTTAACATTAATGGAAAAATATGTCTACATTTATATATGTTCAGTCAAATTCACTAACATTAAATAGCCTGTTTCTGATCCTATTATTATATAGGCTGGTTATCTCTGTAAAATGAAATCTTAGCCCTTAATGTGGATTAAAGGAAATGATGAAATGTTTCCATCTGATCTCCCTGAGGCAGGATGTTTTACAGGCACAATCCGGATCAGCAAACATTAAGTATCTTACATCTTGCCAGTCACTGTGCTAGGCACTGGGGCTATAAGGACAAAAAGCAAAAAGCAGTGCCTGCCCTCTGAAGGCTTATAATCTGCTAGGGGCTGGGCAGGGATGTAGCAGAGACACTAGTAAGTGAATACAAGGTGATTTGAGAAGGGAAAGAGCCCTAACTTCATTATTTATCTATTTTAATATTTTATATATAATATTTATATATATTATATATATATAAATATATAATATTTATATATTATATATATATATATATAATATTTATATATTTTCTTTTTAAATTTTGAGTTCCAAATTCTCTCCCTCCCTCCCACCCCATCCACTACGAAGACAAGCAACATGATATCAATCATACATGAGAAATCAAGCAAAACGTATTTCCATATTAGCCATAAGGGAAAGAGCTCTAACAACTGAGAGCATCAGAGAAGGCACCTTCATCCTTTAAAAACCCTCTAAATAAAGTCAAATAGAATACAGGACATACCTCACACTACAGTGACCAGTAAACAAGTACAAGGGCTTTAATTTATGCTTGGTTTTTTAAAAAAACACTTTTACTTGACATGATCAATGTTTTTAAAAATGTGGAAGAAACTTATTAATGTAGATGAGGTAAAATAATCCATATTTCAAGATTGTTGTAAGGAAAGTGCATTGCAAATTTAAAAGCACAAGTGTGAGTGTGATTATTAATTATGTAGTCCTTCAAAAAATGTTCAGTTGGAAGGCTAATAGCACATCATTGAATTTGGGTTTTGAAAGGCTATATCCATGACAATACACTCATGGCTACAGATTTATAGGACAAAAGGGGAAGGGTGCCAGAGCAAGAGCTGAAACTAAGACATTTCGTTTCTAGAGCAAGAATGGGGCAGGCATTAGGCAGAAGGGTTAGAAAGTGGATCATTCACTTCAGATCTTAGGGAGTTTGAGGGCAGCGTAGCATGGACATCAGGAGTCCAGCTGGTAAGATTATAAGATCATAGGGTTTGGAACCAGAAACCACCTCAAAGGCCATCTAAACTACCCTCCTCTTTTCATTTTACAGATGGGGAAATTGAGGCCTCTGGGGGTACAATGACTTGCCCAAGGTCACATAGGTAATAAATCTCAGAGACAGGATTTGAACTCATTTTTTCTGATGACAATCCTCTTTTCACTGCAACATGCTAAGGATAACATCCTATAAGACCTTCCTCACAGAGTTGATTTGAGGCTCAGAAGTGATAAGGGAAATGAAGCCCTTTGCAAATTTCAAAGTTCTATAGAAATGTCAGCTGTTAAAATTACTTCTTTTGAGTGTTTTGCAAATGGCAGGATCCTTTTTAAGCCTTCACTGAAGCCTGAAGACATCCCGTCTTTACCAGATGACTCAAACAATCATGTTTTTGGTGAATTCTTCTGAAATAGGGCAATCAGCATGATTACTACTGAATGCTGACTCAGTGGGACAGTCACAGGATCAACTCTGTGTTTTCTCAATTCTCCCGAAGATTCAATGAGGCCAATGACTCTTTCCCCATCCTCTTTTTTTTTTTGCCAGAATGAGTTTTTTCATAAATACATTTGGAAAATGTCCAAATCATTCCACTAGATCCTTTTGAATCCATAGAATTTGCTGATCCAGAGATTTGCCTATTTCCCCTAGGCTAGAAATCCCTTTAGCAGAAGGCAAAGTCTTTCATTCCACCAAAAGAGATAAGGCTTTAGATATAAATTCCTTTGGGAGGGAAAGAGGCAAAGTATTAAGTTTAACTAAATTCCCACAAAGATATAAATGAAATACAATGAGAGTCTGGTGCAGATGCCAAGTCTGGGATAGCATCACCCCATGGGGAGGAGTTAAAAAGCCTGATCTGAAAGAGTCATGATGATATGGAATGGAAAGGCCTTGGAGAGACCAAGAGTTTTTGCAGGCATTCTATAACTGGTCCCAGCCTGCTACCCACGTACTTCAGGAAAATGTCTTTGAATTGGCTGTGTTGGTGGAACCAGGGGCATCTTCAAAAGGCTGAGTCATCCTTGGCCACTTTTGGTTCAACTGTCCTCTTGGAGGAATCTTGTTGACCTTTGCTCCCAATGCCCATAAGAAAAAAAATGCTTTAAGGAGAAAGGCCTTGAAGTTTTCTTCCATCTGAGGAAGAAAAGGCTGCACTTCTTTGCCTCTGCATTTGTCCTTTTCCATTTTAGGTAAAGGCATTAGAACCTCTGATCTGGTAAGTTTAGACATGTCAGGAGGGGTGCTCTGGTGGTCCAGTGTCCCAGATTAGCATTTGTATTGAGCACAGCCTGATTCCCTAAGGAGCAAGGAGTAAGCTTCATGATTAGTTCCAGGGTGGCTGAGATGAGGAGTCATCTAGGAATCGTGCTTCATCTATTTGTGAACTTGGTGGGATCAGTGGTATATAGGAACTGTACTAAGAGTGTATTCCCAAGGTATTGGGGAGAAATATTCATGTTTGTTATTACTTTATCTTC